CCGGGGACTGGGAGCTGGGGACCCCTGGAGCCGCGAGAGGCGGCCGCCAGGGGCGGGGTGCGGGCAGTTTGGGGATGGGGGGCGCTGTCGGAGGGAGGGAGGGAGGGAGCGGGGGTGGGGCACACAGACGATTGGAACGGGAGAGTGGAAGAGATTTTGAAAGGTCATCTCGTCCTTCCCCCAGCCTCCAAGCTGGAGTGCCCCTCCCACCCTAAACCCGGACATACCAGGCAAGGAGTTGGCTCTGCCGCTCTTTCTGCCCCAACATGCACAGACTCGGGAAGTTCTTCCTGGGGTTTTATCTCAAAGCCTCTCCCTTATATTTTCTGTCTCTCTTTTGGGGGAGGAGGAGGGGCGATTAGAGAGATAGTTAATGTCTGCCGTATAAGAAACATTATTAAAGTTACTCTTTGGTCCTCTCTGTTCTTGATAAACAATTGGGCAGCTCCTTCTTCTTGAGTTCTATGTTCCATTCCTAAGTCACTTTAATGGCCCTTAATACAACAAATATTTACTGAGTGCGTACTAAGTACCAGGGACTATGCTCAGCACTGTGGGGGACGCACAGACGAAGGAGATGTGGTACCTTTCCTCCAGGAAGTCTAGACAGAGCTATGAACTTATAAATAGCATACTCAGATATAATCAATATTTATTGAGTACCTGTTCATATACTTAATAACATATAATTCTTACAATAACCTTCTGAAATATAACCAGTCCCCACTTAAAGGTAAGGAAAATGGGGCTCAAGGAGTCTATCTCCCCAGCCAGTCATTGGTCTGCAAGCCTAGGAATCCCCAGTGCAAGGCCAGTGTCTCATATTCTGTCAGGTCACTGCCACCAAATAAAAGTAATGCACATGAGGATCAAGGAGGAAGAAACAGATACACAGAAATTCTCTGGATTCCTTTAAAATGTGATTCCCACTTCCCAGAAAAAGAGAGTGGATAACAATGCTCCAGTGAGGGTTGGCCCAGCAGGGCAGAAGTGGCTTACAAAAAAAGGCCACTTGCCTCCCAGCAGTAATTCCTAGGGGTATTCTGGCTCAGTTTTCATCTACCATCAATAATAATAAATAATGATGATGACAATAGCCACTAAAATTATTAAGCACTTACATATGCCAGGTATGGAGCTGAGCTGGTTCATATGAACTTTCTCCTTTAACATTCAAGGCATTCCCTTGAGATTGGTATCAACTGCTCTTTACAGGCAAGGAAACAGAGAAGTAACTTGCCCAAGGTCACCAGTGTAGATCTGAGATTTGAACATCAATCGGGTTGCCTCCAGACCGCAGGCTCTGCACTAAGATGGGTCTTCTCTTTTTGATCTGTAGTGTATATCTGGGCCCAGGTGGTTCTGCTCCTTGCTGTAGTAAGAAAAGGCTCCAACCAAAATGTGTATCAACTGTTGAACGTAAAATGAATCTAGTTCGTAAAATTTCACCCAAATCACAAAAAGTTATTTTTTAAAAAAAGGCCTCTGTTACTCTATGATTTGGAAGTGTTTGATTTTCACTTTGTGAGATCAGATGTGTCCCCCAGTTTGAACTCTGTCAAACCTTCAATAAATCTTTTTGCTTTTATTTTTAAAAGAAAGAAATGGCTCCAGCTCAGCTTCTGAATAAGCCCTTTACTATATCTGTGTCAGGCTCATCAGTATGATCTCATCAGTACCACTAACAGTTATTAAGCACCAACCCTGAGTCAACAACTCTTCAGTCATATTATTAGCCCCCTTTCATCAGTGAAAAACAAAGTAAAGATTCAAATAGGTAGAATAATAATTCGTGGATAATAATTTACCCACGGTCATACAGCTGGCAAAGCAGAAGAGCTGAAATTCTAGTGCAGGTCTGTCTGCCTGCCTGCAAGACTCTTTGGCTTATAAATACTAATTATTGCAACAGTGTCCTTCCTAAGACTAACCATTTGGGTCCATCCTTTATACATCTCTGGCTGCAGGTCACTACTGATCAAAAATGATCATAACCATAAATAAGTTTTCCCCACCCACTTAGTCTGTGTCTGATCCAAAGTAAATCCTTCAAAATGGGAAGGAAGAGAAACTGTTCAGAAAGTTAAGAGGCAGGAGACCAGGGATTTAAACCTTACCTGGTCTGGGGACAAAGCTTCAAGTGGTAATGGCAGGGACTAACCCAAACAGTAATGTGGGATCTTCCTAGGCAAGAGCAAGTAATTTGAAGAGGAAGCCAAAGAAAGGAGAAAGGATAGAAATGGAGGAAAATTGGGGCACAGGGTGATGGCATCCATAGGGATGAAGTGAGTGATCAGAAGAGGAACCCAGGGTGGGGAGAGATGGGGCAACAGGAAATGGGGAAAGGAGGCAGGGCTGGGTATCTTCTGGAGGGAACCGAGGCTGGCATCTACCCAGGGCCACTCCCTGTCCCTGGATTTTGTGGCCCTCATAGGGACCTTTGCCCCACCACACCCCAGGGCTGACAGCTTGTTTCTACCAAAGCTAGTGTGTCATATGCTCTGAGCTACCAGGCCCCTCCGGGAGGCCCAGGGTCCTGCTGGGTCCATCCCTTTGGAGAAGCTACTTCATATTAGGTAGGTGTGAGGCCCTGGGCCTCAAATTCCTGGAGTGGGAAGGGGGGCAGCTGAAAGAGATGTTGCTAAGTGTCTTGCCTTCTGATGGACAGGCCCCATAATGTATTTTATACAGCCTAGGAGGCACCCAGTTCCAGTAGTCAAAGGAGCCATGGAGGAGAGAGCTGGTCAGCAAAAGCAGGAGGATCCCAGCATTCGTCTGGGAAAGCTACAGCACTGGGCAAGGCACAGGCAGAGTGGAACCCTCCTCGTGCTGGCGGTGAGGCCAGGCTGCCCCACCCCATGTTTCCATATGCCCACTTGTATGCCAGTTCAATTCCACTCATGTTTAATAAGAACTTACCATGTGCCAGAAACTATGGTAGACTCTTAGCAGGAGGAGGGAAGTGCAAACACGGAGATAAAAAAGGCAAGATCCTTAATCTCCAAACAGCTTTTATCATATAGGAAAAATACACAGGTAAATAACTGTGATATGAAGCAGAAAAAATTAACTGATAGCCCCTTCCTTCACTCCTGTCACTGAATACCTTCCCCCATCACGTACTCATCCCAACTCCTGATCTCTGAAAGAGGCAGGGGTTGTGAGGATGGAAGGGAATCCCTGAAGGTTCCCCCTCAATTGCCCTGCCCCTGGCCCCTAGGTGAGCCAGCTATGGCTGGCAATGACTGTGGTGCCCTTTGCTGTCTCAGTCGCCTGCCTGAACTCTGAGTGTCACATGGCCACAGCACTGCCCATTGGGCCTGCAGCCTCGGTGAGACTCACCTCAAGGGGGCATGGAAGGAAGAGGGGGCTCCCTAATGGGGCCAGAGCTCACCCCTTGCCCTTCTCACCATGCAGGGTCTCCTCACTGGGACTGTTACCCTGGAGCTGCGCAGAGCGCCCCGCCTCTGGAAGGTGAGAGGGGAAGAGAAGGAAGCATTGTCCCCCTTTTCCCCTAACACCCTTCAGCCCAGGAAGTGCGTCTCTAAGTGCTGACTAACCCTGTCAGTTGTGCTGTCCCTGACTGACCTACGGACTGAGAAAGAAGAGCAAGAAAGTTAGAGGGTTGATGGCCCTGTTGGAGGTGGAGATGCAGGAACTAAGTTTTTATTTCGGCTGGCTGCAGGTGGGGCTTGGGGCGGGCACGAGTCCCCCTAGGCTACATGGGACTGAGCTGGCTCACTGGCAGGTGCGGGCCATGATGATATTCAATACCTTCAACCTGATCTTGGGATTCATCGTGGTTGTGGTCGAGGTGATGAAGACAGCCTTGGCACCTGCCCCAACTGTCCCCTTCCAGGTATGAGTGAATGAAAGAGGAAGTGGGAGAATGAGGAGGTGGAGAGGGAAGAAGCTAGAGGCAAGTAAGTGCTGGGTCTTCTGCAGTATCCTCAGCCCTATCTACCTGCAGCTGACTGGCTTGCTGGTGGTGGAGCTCAGCGCTGAGGCCTTCACCCTAGGGGGAGTGCTGGTCTCAGCATATGCCCTATTCCTGTTGAGCCAGAGGAAGCCAGGATGCTGCAGGAATCAGAGTCTGCACTACCAGGAGCTGCAGGAGGTATGAGGAGAGGGCAGGGAGGCAAGCACAAGAGCGGGCTGGCAGCTCATTTTCGCACTGGCTATCCTGGTTAGTGATACTTCAGGGGAAAAAAAGTGGGGCAGGAAGGACGTCAAGGAGTCCTAGACAGAAACTAGGCATTCTGGCTGGGGATATTTCACCCCTAACGGTGGATTAGAGATAAATGAGTTGGGACTGAAACAGTGGAGGTACATAGGAAGCTGCATAAGTACTAGAAGAGAAAGAAGAACACAAGAAAAAATGGGGGAGAGGAGGGTGCTTCTATCTGGGGTTTCTCCTTTCTCACTCCTACAGCTTGCTCCCCTCACACCTCTGTCTGGTTTTCAGGGCCTCTCTGAGTTGGAAGAGGTTCCAGTTTTGGAGAACGGTCCTACAGTGGCTACTGCAGCAAACGGAACAAATAAGTGAGCTGGTAAGGGGAGGTAGTCGGATGATACTGCTCCCCTTTTGCCTTGCGGGAGCGCTCCCCAGACTTTCCTGCGCCCAGCTAGCTGGACTCCAGAGAGACTTATATGAAGCCCGATGGGGTATCTTCCATTTCCACTCAGACAAGTCGCCTTTCTCTTCCCTTCCCTGCTAGCAGAAATTATACGTGGTCCAGAGTCCTCCCCTACCTCACCACCCTGCAAACCTACAGAGCATCCCTTAAGCAAATCTTCAACTATAGCCACTTCTTTGCTTCCATCTTCACCCTTCTTACCTACCGACTCCCCATACAGCTTCACATCTGCCCCATCTCACTATTTGAACTATTCTCTTCTATCCCACCGCTCACAATCCCATTCACTCCAATCCCCGGTTCCTGTACATGCCAACTCTCTGAATTCAACTCCTGCGGGCTTCACTTGTTCCTTCGATCCGGTTCCTTTTCACTCCAGCGGAGACTACAAGTCCCAAGATGCCCCGCTACTCCGTGGCCTGCTGGGAAATAAAGAGCCTTCACCCTGCGGTGGGGGCGCAGCGTATGTGCTGAGTTAAGCGAGGCTTTGGAGTCAGGGCCTAGCCGTGAATTTCCCTGGACGCGACCACTGGCCCTGCGTAAGGGGAGGAACTGGTGGGTCACCCTGCGCAGGGATGCCGCCGTCCAACCACGGCAGCCAAAAGCTAACTGCAGGTCTACATTTTCCCCTCTGGCAGCTTCGGGTATGGACAGGGGTTGGGTGGTGGCCTTGACGGGGCTTGGGATTACCAGATGCTGTCGCCGTGCCCCCTCGGACAAGTGGCCAGGTCCAAAGTCCTGAGACTTGGAGCGCGCGCGAGACGGGCTGGGGATGATGAGTCAGAAGCACAGGGCCTTTCTACTCCCCCTCCCTCAGAGCCTCGGAGTGGAGAAAGGCAGGCTAGTAGCGCTGGGGCGGGGCGGGGAGAATGGACACGGGGGCGGAGGGAGCGGGCTGAACGGGGCGGACTGGGGGAGGGGCTTGGCGACGAGATAAGAGACTTTCCCGCCTCTGCGAGCACGCCTGGAGTACGGAGCCCGCGTCGCAGCCGCTCTTTCTCTCCAAGGCGGGAGCCGGACTGCGCAGACTCGGCTTCCTGGCAGCCCTGTCGACCTTTGATCCCGGCCATAGTCAGATTGCTGAAGCTTTGGTAGCTCAATTCCCACCGTTTGTGACTTTTCCAAGTGTGAGCGGATGACAGGCTCTGGTGGGCTTGTGAAGATCCCAGAAATGTGGGAGTCTCAGTGCACTATCGGGCAGCTTACTAGCCGCTAGAAACCAGCCTAGTGCCTAAGGCATTTGACTGCTAACCAAAAGGCTGGCGGTTCAAACTCACCAACCGCTCGTGGGAAGGAAGATTGGGCAATCTACTTCCGTAGAGATACGGCTTGGGAAACCGACGGAGTGGTCGCTGTGAGTGGGATCCGACTGGATGGCAGTGAGTTCAGTGAGTTTAGAGAAACTAGACATGGATCAGAGTTGGAGTACTAAGAACTCAACCCTAAATTTACGTAGTGCCCGGGATGGATGTACACCTCACACTCATTTTTATTCTCGTGTGAGAAGGCTTCTTCCCCTAGAGAATGCTGCTTCTCGGGAATTAGCCAAACCCAGGCAACAGGGAAGGCAGAGTGCAGCCTGGCTCCCTTGCTATGACAAGGAAGTGGCACCAGATGCAGTTCCTTTCTGTTTGTGACAACTTGGGAGCTGTATTTGTTGTTGTTTGCCATCGAGTCGGACCCACTCATAGCGACCCCTCCTTGGGTTTCCGAGGCAGTATCACTACGGAAGTAGATTGCCTAATCTGCCCTCTGAGGAGTGGCTGGTGGGTTTGAACCACCAGCCTTCTGGTTAGCAGTCAAATGCCTTAGGCACTATGCTACCAGACCTCCTATAGTTAGTTACCTTATAGTAAGGTTGAGTGTCAGTACTAGTGGGTAGGGGCACTTCTGGGATCAGGCTCTGGAATGGAGAGAAGATATGCCCTCCACACAGTTATAATTGCCAGAACAGTGGAGCATTCATGTGTGAAGGGCTCCAAGAAAGGAAGAATTTTCTTCAGAGTTAGAAGGTGGTGGTAGATAAGTAAACTAGAGGGAAATAAGTCAATTCACTTTCACTGTCTTCCAGAATTGAGCAACAGCTTTTTAGTGATGTGATCAGAAGTCTGAAAATTGTATTTTTGTTCTTGGAGAAGCTTAATGACAATGAAAATGAGCCTTATATCAGTCAGATCAGGCTAGGTTATATGTTGCACCAACAATGCCAAATCTCAGTGACTTAAAATCAGGAAGGTTGATTTCTCATACTGTGTGTGTAGAGTAGGCTGGCAAGGGGCTGTGCTCATCATAGTTATTCAGGTACTCATGCCAATTGGGGACCACCATCTCAAGATTCCACCATGTCACCATGAGGCTTAGGGTCCCCCTTTAGTAAGAATGAGTAATTGTTCATGGGCTTGCAAATGCTTCTGCCCAGAAGGGACACATACCATTTTCATACTTCATTGGCCAAATCAAGTCACAGACACATCCAACTTCAAGGAAGTCCCTGGAAGGAGAAGGGAGGCAGAAATACTTCATTAAAAGAAAGAAAGTTTATCATTTGTAGTGGCTTTTAAACAGTTTAGCAGTTGGAACACATCCATTCCAACAGTTATGTACTTCTTTGGTGAGATGAAGTTTGTTGTTTGTTTGTAAATACCACTTTTTTATTGTTGCAAATATATATATAACTGTAGTGTGATGGATTATTTTCATATGACTTTTCTTACCATGATCTTGTGACAAACAAAATGATTGGGTGGGACTATGCAAATGAAGTGTATGGAACCCTAATGAGAAGATTGGTAAGTTTTGGCATCTGTTCTGGTTACCTAGTGCTGCTCTGACAGGAAACATACCACAAATGGGATGGCCTTAACAAACAGTTTATTCTCTTACAATTTGGAGGCTTTATGTCCAAGTTCAAAGTGCCAGGCTCTAGGGGCTGGGTGAAAGCCCTTTAACCTTGGGGTCCAGCTCTGCCTCCTGCTCCCAGTCCACTGGAGCTAGAGTCGTTTCTTCACTCAGACAGCTACTGGCTGCTGAGGCTGACAAGCCCAAGGTTGACAAAAAGGCACAGTCCCAACGTTACCAAACCACATGGCAGGCCATTAATTTAAGTCCATTTTAAGTCCCAAGGTCGGCAGAGCATGGCAGGCTGCTGAACAATGACATGGCTACATGCAAGGTCCAAGCATGCCATAAGCTAGAGACTATCCCCAAGGCTTCTCCTTATATACAGGAAGCAGACCACATTCCCTAAGGCAGCTACTCAGCTGCTCACAGTAGATTCCACCATGGAGTTGATTACCAGTCTCATCATGGGGAATACTACATCCAGTTGCGCAGCCCCTCAACCAGGTCCAGCCAAGTTGACACACAAACTGAACTATACAATTCCATCCCTTGTCAACTTGGCATCTGTACACATCTCTCTCTCCGGGTGACTCCAGTCCCCTAGTTCCCCTAAGTGGCGACCTCACCCCCTTGGCCTGGCAGGCCCTGTTCTGCTCCCTCTTGGGCATGGCAGCCCTGCCCCCTCACTCTTGGGCAGCGGCTATGGCTCCATCCCACTGGCTCACATGAATGAGCAGCCCTGCACTCCAGAACCAAGTTGGAGAAGATCTGGCTGTTTGAAACCTAGGTAGCTATGGTGGTTCCACCCAAAGGCCATGGTCCTACCCTTTCAGGCTCTGCTTCCTTTTCCTTGGTCTCTCCGCTTCTGCCTATTAATGCCGCAGGCAACCCACTCCGCTGGAAAACTTCCTGCCCCAAAAGCACTTGGCTTTCTTGCTCTGTGGACCAGCCAACCTGCTACTCCATTTCAAGCTGGTCTCTTCTACCAATTAATGCCTGAAGGCAATCCACTCCATCAGGAAGCCGCCTACCCAATGGTACCCGGCTTTCTCCTCCATGGGCTGGTAACCCTGTTGGTGTTTAATGCCAGTCTCTGGGCTCTGCTATTGCTGTTTTTCATGCTGGTCTCTCTGCCAGTATCTCTGCCAGTCTCTTGACACACAAACTGAACTACCACAGCATCCCACTAGGCTTAAAGCCAACCCCAGAGCATAGAGGGTACCTCACTACCACCAAAAAAGAAGAGCTAGGAGTGGAGTGTGTCCTTTGGACAGGGGTGTCCCTGTTCTGAGACCCTTCTATGCCCAGGAGACAGCTGTAACATGAACAATGGCAAGAAGTTGTGGCAGGGAAGTGGCAGCAGATGGTGCAGTGTACTTCCCTGCCCACAGAGTGAGGGAGCTACAGCGGATGTGCCAACCCACGGAGCAAGAGAGCTGAGTGCCTTCAGGCTGAGGCTCACTGGCAGAGTAGGATCCTCCTGGCATTTATTGGCAGAGCTAAAGACCTTTGTAACACTCACCTAAGCAGGGCAGAGGCAAGGCCAAGGGCTGGAGAGAGGCCTCTCAGTGGGCACAGCTGAGAAAGCTGTCCTGATGGAAGAACTGTATCTTGATTTGTTCCTAATCTTGAATTGTGACCTGTGACTTCCCTAATAAACCCCATAATCATTGAGTATTGTCAGTAAGTTTTGTGTGGCTGTACAACAAATTATGGAATCCAGCAGAGAAGTAGAGTGTCATGGGAGGGTTGACTGATGTCAGAACTGGTAAAAAGGTGAGACAGTATAGGTATGTCTGACATCTAGCTCATAGGAGTCAGCTTTATGCTGATGATAATCTTGATTATCTTACCTCCCTGAAGTTAGAGGACCCCTGATGCCGTGGAGCCATTTTTACAATAACAACATTTGGCAGTTCAACATTTTTAACGAGGAGCTCTGGTAGCATAGTGCCTAAGGCACTTGACTGCTAACCAGAAGGCTGGTGGTTCAAACCCACCAGCCACTCCTCGGAAGGAAGATGGGGCAATCTACTTCCGTAGTGATACTGCCTCAGAAACCCAAGGA